AAATTGATGATACCAAGCTTGTGGAGCTCGTTTTAGGCCATAAAGAGCCTTGCAAAGTCTGCAAACATAACCTGAAAATCGCTTGCCAACAAACCCAGGGGGTTGATGCATGTAAACACACTCATTCAAGTCACCATCTAAAAAGGCATTTTTTCATCAAGTTGGTGAATAGACCAATTACGAGCCATAGCCAAACTCAACACTTTTTGAATATTGGCCGGTTTGACAACCGAGCTAAACATTTCATCGCAGTCAATACCTTCATCGTGTGACCTGCCATCACAAACTAGACGAGATTTGTGTCTTTCAAGATCACCATTAGCATTCAATTTATGTCAAAATAACAACATACAATTGACAATATTCACCCCCTTTGGCCTAGGAACCAAATCCCATGTCCCCGTTTCAATTAAACCACCATAATCATCACGCATAGCTGCATTCCAATTCGGGTCAGAAAGAGCTTGTTTGTGATTTTTAGGTAAGGGAGAACGGTCCATGTGGTGCTAGGAGTGGAAATTGTTAAGCCATATTTAGGATTAGGTTTGAAAATCCCATGCTTGGATCAAGTTTGCATCTGTTGGGAATTTAGAGGTGGTCTAGTTAGTGTAATTGGCGTGAGGCCTCTAAGGGGAGGAGGAGTATATGTGTTTAGGCTTGTAGGTGAAGTATGAGAAGGTTGGATGGGTGAGTTGGGCTTTAAATCTGGTAGGGCCGAGAGAGAAACAGCAGGCGCTGGGTGTGCGATGGGCTAGGCTTGCTGAGCATCTGGCTGGGGCGAGGAGAAACTAGCAGGCGCTGGGTTATTGTGGGGTAGAAGAGACTGCAAGCCTGTTGCGGCAGCCTGGTTGGGTCGCGGTTCTCCTGCGGTGTGGGCTGCCTATGAGGTATGTGTGTGATGTTTTGAAGCTTAAACAAGGGGGATGGATCACTATTACCCAAAAAATCATAATTGGATGAGCGAAATTGTGTGATGTGTCGATATGGAAAAGTATGTTCATCAAAGGTGACATGACGCGAGATTTTAATGTTATTAGTTGAGAGATCTAAGCACTTGTAGCCCCTATGTTCGGAAGGATACCCAAGGAATACACAAGGTGTGGATCAGGGTGATAACTTGTGTTTGGCCGTGGCAGAGAGGTTAAGAAAACAAAGACACCCAAAAACTCGAAGGTGAGTGTAGGATGGGACAATGACAAATAAAGCTTGGGCAGGAGTAAGTTTGTTGAGAGTTTTAGTAGGCATAAGGTTTAAAAAATAAGTGGTCTTTTCATGGGCATGACTCCAAAATGGAGGTGGGAGAGAAGCATGAAATAGGAGTGTACGTTTAATATTATTAATCGTACGAATCATACGTTCGGCTTTGCCATTTTGCGATGATGTATGTGGACATGAAAGCGAAAAACCAATCCATTTTTGACATAGAAAAGTTTGAACGAGTCATTATCAAATTTGCAACCATGGTCACTTTGAAACGACTTAATGAGACGCTCAAATTGAGTAAGAATATATTGTCAAAAATTAAGAAAGGTTTGAAAGGCTTGAGACTTGTAAACAAGTGGAATGGTCCACACATAATGAGTGTAATCATCTAATAACACTAAATAGTATTTATGACCTTTATCACTACGAATGGGAGAAGTCCACAAATCATCATGAATAATATCAAACGCAGAAAAGGTAGTACTATTGTAGGGAATATTTCAAGCATTACCCCTAGCTTCAACCCCACCGTGATCATACACTAAAGTACTGTGGCGTCCAAAGGGAAAGAAGATAGAGCAAAAGAGTCGCTAACAAGTTTTAGGAACTTGTAAATCGTTCACGAGGTGAAGGTTACACCAATTAACGATCCAGAAGATCATTAACACCAATAGGTCTGGAAACATGGCTGGTAGTTCGGGGATGAAGGTACAAATCCAACCTAAAAGAGATTGAACTTGCCTTAATAATAGGCTTTTACTTTATTCTGATCGTGTTCATGTGCGCTTTCTAACTAACATGCAATCAATAGGTTTACCCTAAACCTCTTTATCTATGTTGGTTGAATATTAATGCACAAATAAACTATTAGTGGCGATCACTTGAATTAATATTAATCATATCAACCTAAACAAGATTATTCATTATCTTTATTAAGCGTGATTACTAGTACCAATTCCCTTTAAACATGCATAAAAGGTGTGATCAAGCAATAACAATAAATATATATCAAGCAACATAATAAATCATCATAACAATAAATATATATCAAGCAACATAATAAATCATCATAACAATAATTATAATCATAATTGAAATAACAATCATAATAATTAAAATAATCATGTTAAAGCATAATAATAGCAAGATCCTAGGCATGATACTAACAAGATTAATAAAAAACCCTAGCATGTCACTAAACAATCAAAATCAAAGCTTTAGCCCTAACATGATACTAACAAAAAAATTAGGAAGAGAACATAGGAAGCATACTTTTAATCATACTTGTTATTAGAAATTTTAGTTGTTACCCTAAACATGATACTAGGAAGATCAAAACACCCTAACATGACACTAGGAATCATAATAACAACCTAAACATGATTTCTATATCATAATAACAATGAAAAACATTAAAGCACTTACTTGGATGCCTCATATCTCTTTCTAATAACAAAATACACACGTTAGTAACTTCAAGGAAATAATAAATAATATAATTAAATTAAATAATTGAAAGAGAGATTAAGAAATTTTAGACTAGATTTGGGTCCAAACCCTTAGAAATCAAAACCTTTCACGTCTAGGGCGAAGGCAACTTCGAACTTAGCTGGGTGTGTCTAGTGCTAATGTATGAGGAATTGTGTTTGTAAAAATCTAGGCTTAGAAAGAGAGAGAGAATCAAGAATTTCTTGATGTGAGTTGGTGATTGAAAACAGGGAGATATGACCTCTATTAATAGAGAAAAAAGAGAGTCGAAGAATAAGAAAAGAATCCGAATTCGAATCGAAATAAAACTCGATGGACAGCAGTTTTTGCGGATTTTGTTTTTATCATATCTTTTGATCCAGAAGTCCAAATAAGGCATATAATCTGTCGTTTGGAAAGCTCCTGAGGTCTACTTTCCAACCCAATTAGTATCATATTAAAATCTTTTGTAGATAAAAAGATATGGCCGAGATAGTAGGACGGTGTCAGTTTTGGATAGAGTTTTGTATTCCATTCATATCTTTTTCGTTATAACTCGGATTTAATATTATAATATATCATTGGAAAGATAATTTCAAGATCTATCCAACCATATAAGATTTGGATAAATATTATGAGGCACGAAAATAATATCTAACTGTCTTTGAAAATCTTTAAATTCGAATAGAATTAGGATTTAAGAAAAAGGAAAGTTTTAAAAAAAGGAAAGTTTTTATTTAACTCAAATTCTTTAATCTTATCTTTTAAAAAAGGATAATTAAGATTTTTTATAAACTTATAGAAGATTCTAATTAATCTTAATTAGTTTATAAATAGAATTAAACCTTTGGACCATCCACATGATCATTAGGTCGTAGGTAAAATCCGGTTTGGGCCCAGTTTAGTATTTTGGCCATAACTTCCTCATTATTCATCGGAATTGGGCTTATAATATATCGTTGGAAAGTTCATTTCAAACCCCATCCAACTACACCATTATTGGACCCATATCATGGACCAAACTAAATTGTAATGCACGTTTTTCAAAAATAGGGTAAGAAAAGAAATATTTTCAAAAACAGAAAGAAGAGATATTTTAATAAAAACATCCTCATCGCTAGAATTTTCACACTTTCGCTTTGTTCGATAATCAAATGACATGAAAGGTATTCATCATTAGGTTTGGTTTTGGGGAGACACAAATGGGTGTCTACAACTATTAGAATTATTAAAAGGAAAACGAACATGTTTTCCTAATTGAAAACCTACGCATAAATTGGAGTCTTGCTCCTTATTACAATCTATAAAATTTTTACTCCTAAGAAAGCTTAAAGTGGGTGCTTCAGGATGGCCTACGCGGCTGTGCCATGTGGATGCAGATAAGGTAGTGAGCGATGTGGCTAGATAGTGGATATGTGTTTGTGACTAGATAGAGATCCATATACTATTATATATGGCTAGAATTATCCTCGCTTGTGGATCCTTCACAGAAAAACCACTAGTATCAAATTTTATAGACACGGAGTTATCATTGGTAAATTTATGAACAGAAATTAGATTTTTAATAATTTGGGGAGCTAAATAAACATCACGAAGGGCAAAGGATCTATTAGCTATGCTAGAGTGACCATAACCCGTAATTGGAATGCGATGATCGTTTCCATCACTTGAATATGATTATTTGTGCTTAAATTAAAAAGGGGTAAGAGATTACCAGCATTATTAGCCATGTGGGAAGTCGCACCGGAATCCATATACCAAGCCAATTCATAGCTCTGTATCCCAACGTAAGAAAGGCATTTCCGAGCTCCGTGGGTGTTATAGCCGAATTGGAGTTCGAACCTTGAGCATAGTATGGTTGCTGAATATGCTGGTAGTTGTATGTTGTTGGGCTTGGCGCAACATGATAAGCAGCAAGGGGCCTAGTAGCTTGTGGAGCAGGATACCCAGGCCGTTGTACGGGCCACTACTGTTGAGGGTATGGGTATGGGCATGGGGCTTGGCCCCATTGTGGTGCCCTTGGCTAGGCTTGAGGGTGCTGCGGTGGACTAGCCCATTGAGGTTGGCCCCATTGTGGCACCCCTTGCTGCTGCTGGGGTTGCTGCTATTGTTTTGGGCCTCTACCACACCCTCTACCACGGCCACGACAACCTGAGCCACCATCATGACATGTTGACTACGCCTGTTGTTGTTGAGAAGAAGAAGCAGCGGCTTGCTATGTGGGACTACTATTGCGCCACAAAGTATGAAGATGCAGTAGAGTTATTGATGGCACGACGTGATTCCTCAAGCAAGAGTCGAGATCTTGCGGTTTCAGACAGAGGTAATGGTTACATTTGTTGAATCATAGCAGCCACTATGTCGACATCAGTATTGATGAGCCCCGAAACCAAGCGAATCACCAACTTTTGCTCCAACACCGGTTGATCAACATTGGCCAATTGATCTTTTAAATTCTTCAATTTGCGACAATATGAAGAAATATCTAGAAAATTTTAGAGATGCAAGGCATTGAATTGGTTTTCAAGATAGACGACTCAAGTAGTTTTATTGACTTGAAAAATTACCTTGAGCTTGTCCCAAATTTGTTGAGCTGCAGCCCCCTTTTCTATAATTGTTTCAAGAAAATCTTTAGAGATTGTGCCATAAATCCAGTTCTTGACAATGGAGTCAAGTCGTTTCAACCTCTCATCCGAGATATCCGTCAGTTTAGGTGTTTTGGAGTCAATGTGATCAAGAATATTGTAAGCGTGTGCATAACACTCAAATAATTCAACCCAATTAGAATATTGGACTTTCTCTCGATCAAGAATAAGAGGAATAACATTCTTGATATTATTAACACCTAAATCAAGGTGATAATCATAAGAAGAGGATGAAGATGTGTCATCATCTTTGCCCATGGTGGCAGCAATAAGGTAGGCGCACCAAATTAAAACAAAAAAGGAATTAGGAAAATGAATTAATTGATAAACAAATCATTTTTTGTAGTGGAAAAAATTGCAGGTGCACTAAAGAAAGAATTGCCGTGGAAGGAAGACAAAGATGGCACTTAAAAAATTTAAATTGCAAAAGTTAGACCGTAATCTAAAGTTGTGAAACCAAGTTGGATAATGTAAACTCCTCAAATTGGAGTGTATTCCATTTGTTTCTGTCTAGATCCGATAACTCGAGAGCCCGAACCCGAGATCCTGATACTCCTATCGGCAAGCTGAAATCCTTCATAATGAGCAGAAGTTAGCTAACCCTAGGGTGATCTGGGGATAACCACTCCGATGATAAAGTTAGAATGTGTTTAAGAGAAGGTAAGTAAGAGAGAGAAAGTAGAGAGAGAGAGTAATTAATGCTTACCATTTAATGAAGCTTCATCTACTATTTATAATAAATTTCATGACAGATGGCTATAAGACATGCAAGGCTTTTCTCGCCAAGTGTCAATGATAAGACTGCAACGTGCCAAGTATTGAAGAGCCCACATGGCCGATATGTCTGCTTTTTAGAGCATATCAGCCCTTATCACATATCATTCTGCTTTTTAGAGCATATCAGCCCTTATCACATATCATTCTGCTTTTTAGAGCATATCAGCCCTCGTCATATATCATCCCATACAACTAGCCCCCCAAGTGAGGACGTTAGATTATTGATCGACGTTCTCACTTTAGGATAATAAATAATTTTAATGTTACGATATGTTTAGGCTTTCTTTTTATATGAGAAAAAATGTGTTATAAATCTACTTGGTTGAATACTATGTTTCTTGCACTCTGTTAAGCATATTTGTTAAAATATTTATTGTATTGTTCGTGGGTGTTTTACAAGTGTACGAATAAACTCCGCATTCTCCCCAAGTGACCTTGTGTACCAATTGGACAAAAGGTCTACTTAACAAAAGAACTGGGAGCGAAAAACCCCGTTTTCCCCCCAAGTGACCTTGTGTACCAATAGGACAAAAGGTCTACTTAACAAAAGAACTGGGAGCGAAAAACTCCGTTTTCCCCCCTAGTGACCTTGTGTACTGATAGGACACAAGGTCTACTTAACAAAAGAACTGGGAGCGAAAAACTCCGTTTTCCCCCCAAGTGACCTTGTGTACCGATAGGACACAAGGTCTACTTAACAAAAGAAATGGGAGCAAAAAACTTTGTTTTCCCCCCAAGTGACCTTGTGTACCGATAGGACACAAGGTCTACTTAACAAAAGAACTGGGAGCGAAAAACTCCGTTTTCCCCCCAAGTGACCTTGTGTGCCGATAAGACTCAAGGTCTACTTAACAAAAGAACTGGGAGCGAAAATATCCGTTTTCCCCCCCAAGTGACCTTGTGTGCCGATAGGACACAAGGTCTACTTAACAAAAGAACTGGGAGCGAAAAACTCCGTTTTCCCCCCCAAGCGACCTTGTGTGCCGATAGGACACAAGGTCTACTTAACAAAAGAACTGGGAGCAAAAAACTCTGTTTTCCCCCCCAAGTTACCTTGTGTACCGATAACACAAGGTCTACTTAACAAAAGAACTGGGAGCGAAAAACTCCGTTTTCCCCCCAAATGACCTTGTGTACCGATAGGACACAAGGTCTACTTAACAAAAGAATTAGGAGTGAAAAACTCCGTTTTCCCCCCAAGTGACCTTGTGTACCTATAGGACACAAGGTCTACTTAATCAAAGAAATGCTAAAACGCAGTCGTTTAGGAGATGAATCGTTTGCTAGGTTTTAAGCGGGAAATATGCTTTGAGGCAGGACTCGTGTTGTTAATCTATCGGTTTGTATTTAATTTTTTACAAATTGTCTTAGCCATTGGATTTCTGACTCAACCGTCACATCAGTTTCATTTTTTTTAAAAGAATAAATTTTCTCTTTTACTTTTATATCCCATTTTTAAAAAGCAAAAAGTCGGTTCAAAACGGAGATTTTCAGAGAAAAGGGTTTTCATCTTCACCTCCATCGCTGCCATAGCCAGCAACTGCCTGTTTGTTATTTCGTTACTTAGAAGCATAATTGAAGTTCTGCACTTTTGGCGAATAGCTTAAAGGTAATTACAGAATTTAATTATTACATACATAGCTTCGTAATTCGTTTTTTTTACCTCTTTTTTGAAAAAAAATTTCAAGTTAAGATATTACATGTCCAATAGTAGTATTGAGGAAAAACTTCCCTCCCTTAGCACTGTTAGGCGTCGTCTTCGTTGGGGAAAGACCTCGGGCGTTCTGGAGGGACTGCTTCTTCCCTTTCTGACAATATTGACGATCCGTTTCAGCCGTTATCCCCAGAAGAACAAAAGAAAGCTTTTTGCCATCACAAATTACTAGCCGACTGTGAGAAGGCTACTCGCCCTGTTAACCCTTGTATTCCGGAAGGCACTGAAATTCTTGATATCGAACCAGTTAATGTCCGTATCATCTAAGGAGCTTTGATAACACACGGTTTGACCAATACGGCTCTAACGTCGGGAATATTGGTGTAAATACCACATTTATGCTGAGAATGAAGCAAACAAGTTATCAGCCTGAGGTTGCCGCCAGGGAAGCTGCAGAATCTAGTAAAAAACCTGGGCAAGGTCAAGTGGTAAGTCCTAGTTCTTTCGATTCCGATAAAGAAGAGCGTCCTCCATCTTGGCCTAAAGATCAATCATCTCCTGTTCACGAGTCTACAGTAAATTCGGTTCTTGGGGATGAGGATGATGATAATTCCGATGATGAGAGTAGGGACAATGTTGTTGACTTAACAGCAGAGGTAATTCAAGAGGAGAGATTGGATGAAGAGTACAACTCTAAGACCGATGACAATGATTTTCGGCAACCTCTTGTCTTGTCAAGGAGTAGTAAAGTAGGGAAACCTATAATAAGTGATAAATTCAGAAAAACTACAATAGAAAAAGATTATTTCCGTCGTGCTAAGCGATTTTATAACCTTCCTAATGGTTATGACCTTTATCTTCCAGCCGCGGGATCCTCTGTACTAGATTGCCCTGCTGGCCATGTTGCTGTTTACGCTAAGCATTTTGATTTTGGTTTACGGTTTCCCATTTATCCGTTCGTGGAAAAAATTTTAAAAGCTTGGAATGTTTGTTTAGTCTAGATAACCCCTCCCACAATTCGTGCCGAAATCGCCCTTGTGTGGGTTATGTTGTATAGGAATTTTCCCCTAACTCTTAATGCTTTTCGAAAGCTGATGACCTTAAAAAGAGATGGCCAATCTGAGGGTTGGTGGTCTTTGTATACTGCTTCTAGGAAATACACAGTTCACCCTAAGTTATCTAGTTGTAAAGGGTGGCAAGATAAGTTTTTCTTTTTATCTGTTCCTGATGATTATCCTATTCGGAGAACTTTTTACCGGCCATATACTCGATTTGATACTATTCCTGAGAGAGAACTTGGCCGCCATGAACTTAGAGCCGTCAATTATTTTGACATTGTTGAATCCCAGGATGATGAAGGTAGATCTCGCCTTGCTCCAAAGGTGTGGGTTCCTAATGTGGGGTACATTCTCGGCAATTCCCCATTGTCATGTGTCGGTCTGTGCTAGACTGACCATTATGGTATTAAATTACTATTTATAATTATTTTTATGACTTTAATTTTTGTTGTCTAATATCTATATTTTAAACTTAATATAACTTTAACCCCCATTTTTATATATATTTTTTAACAGGTGTCGACAAGTTAGATAATAAGCAGCTTGGATTGTCCGCTGACGGGAAGAAAGTCATTCGGAGGTGTCCTAGAGCTCCTAGCTCCAGTTACGACACACTTGCCTCGTATTGCAGCCGCGCTTCCCCACTCAATCCCAAAAGAAAAGCTGAAAGGATGGCTGATGACCAATCAAAGAAGAGAAAGCTATCCACTTTGAGGAATCGCCAAGGCGGCAATGTCGGAGTAGTCAACACCAGAGTATCCGACATCCATGCTGAGAAAAAATCGAGGGCAGACGACAACCAGACCAAACGCCCCTCTCCGTCTTGTAAGCTCGCTACTATAGAAGATGAGACAGTGGTTCAAACTGAACCAATTACTAAAAAGATGACTGAGGGGGTGGGAGATTGAAGATCTCACTCGAACCTCCGAGTCTCCCCCTCTGCAACCTAATGAGACAGTTCCACCAGCCGGCCGAAACATCCCCATTACGGTTGTTGGTTCTGATACCAGCATTCCTGGGTTTATTTATCGGTCTCGTCAGTGGATCGAGCGCCCAGAAGAGAGATTTCCAGAGGTTGTTCTGAGAGGGTTCTCTATTCCTCCTGGCCATTCGGGGGATCGATGCCAGCCAAATCTTGATGTGTATCGAAATGAATCTCTCTACACCGATGACCCAATGCAAGGTGGGAATCTCGGATATCGCCTTTTGTGCAACTTGGCTCCTCCCCTGGATAGGCCTGTGGGCGAAATCGGTCCCCTCACTGCTGTTCATATGCATAACATGATGAAGGTGCTCAATTTTTCCTTTGGTCCCTTACTTACTTTTTTTTTATATACAATTTTGTTTATACATTAACATATCTTTTATTATAACATTTTATTTACGTGGGCGAAATTGTGTTGTTTTTTTTTTTATATCGTCCTTATATTACTGTGTTATGCTCTTATATTGGGACAACTTTTAAACGTAGGCTGTCATGTTCGGTACCGAGCTGGTTGAGATGTACCGTTATTAACAGGAGCAACATCATCAGTCTTCTGCCAACCAAAACGCCTTACAAACTGCCTTAGACAACGCCGACAAGGCTTTAAATTTGCTGAAAAAAGTCAAAAAGAGGGATGACCTGGAGTTGGCATCTCTAAAGGACAAAGCGGTCAAGGTCGAAGGACTTGAGAAAGAGGTTCAACAACTAAAAAGTCAAATTGCCGAGAAGAACCTTGCTCTTGAGCGTCTTCCCTCCCTTGAGAAAGACCTCAATGACTCCAAGG